ACCGCCCCCGACCCCCGGCCCAGGACCGCCCTCCCCCGGTCTGCACCGCCCCTGCCCCAGGACCGCCCCCGCGTCTTCGTCGCACCCGCGGGCACGTCATCGCGGCGTCGGAGGGACGTGGGGACCGGATGGGGAAGGCGGCGGCGGTGGCCTTGGGGGCCGAAGTTGGCGTGCGGCTCGCCCTGTTCGCGACCTTCCTGTAAGCGATTTGCGGATCGGGCCCTAGGGCGCTGGCACCCTCCGGCAGACGGGCGTGTTGCCGCCCCGCGAAGACGCCCGCAGTCAGGTCCCGCCGCCGCGCCCGGCGTCGAACAGCGTCCGCCTCCCCCACCCCCGTCCGCGCCCCCGCGGGGAAACCTGGGGATCCCGGGACGAGATGGGGCTTTCAGTCCGGAGGAAAGCAGCCCTCGGGCCCGGAGAGAAAGCAAGCCGACGTGCTCTGCACCTTTTTGTTTCCCTTTAGGGTGACGGAGCTGCTGGCTCCCTTCCACAGGCTTATCCAGCCGGAGGAAATGTGGCTTTACCGGAATCCGTATGTGGAAGCGGACTATTTCCCTACCAAGCCCATGTTTGTGCGTGGTGAAGTATCCCTTCCTGCTGACCCTTAACGTTTGTTCTGTGCCCAAGGAAGGGGAGGTGGTCGTTGTGGCTCCAAAATGATCTTTGTAGTGGACTTACTGCTCCTTTTCTTGGTTTTGTTTCCAAAGCGTTTAAGATCCTAATGTCCAAATGTCTGAAATCCACATTTAGAGAGCAAGATGTCAGATTCTTTTTTTGCTCAAGAGACATTGTCTCCTGTTAGTTCTGCTCTTTAGGACAGCTTGAGGTAACTGGTCATTTTGAATAATGGGTGACGGTGTTATTTACCTGGTGGAACTGACTGACGCTCAGTCACCCCTTGGATGCACTACAGACACCGAGGACCCCTACTTACAGGGAACTGTTAGGGCTGATACTGAACTCTGCTATGTCACCTCTGTCCCTCTTCCCTGTAAGAGCTGCTTTAACAACTCGTTTTCTTTTACCTTTAATATATTCTGGTTCAGGTCATTGCATTTCTCTCTCCTCTGTCACTGATCCTCCTGGCCAAATGTCTCAAGAAGGCAGACACAGCAGACAGCAGACAAGCCTGCTTGGGTAAGAGCCAACTCCTTCTGCCTGGAGTTTTCCTATATTCTTAGTAGTTGTGTGGAGGCCACTGAATTCTGCATTCCTAAAGTAATTATGAAGGCAGTGGTGCTTCCGTGGGAGAATTCTCACCTTCCAAGTGGGAGACCTGGGTTCAGTTGCGGGCCAGTGCACTTCAAGTGCAGCCACCACCTGTCAGTGGAGGCTTCCGTCCTGCTACAATGAACCAGTTTCATCGAAGCTTCCCGACTAAGACAGACTAGGAAGAAAGTTCTAGTGATCTACTGAAAATCAGCCAATGAAAATCCTATGGATCACAACGGTCCGATCCCACTGTGCATGGGGTTGCCATGAGTCAGTGGTTGTCATGAGTTGGGGACCAGCTCAATAGCAGCTAACAACCCCTCCCTTTGCACCCCCTTGTTGCCCTGTGAGACAGAAAAATAGTAACAGTAAGTTTCTTTGCCTTCCAGCTGCCAGCCTTGCCCTGGCTCTGAACGGTGTCTTCACCAACACAATAAAACTGATAGTGGGGAGGTAAGGATTAGCCACCCCTGTATCTGCCTCAGCCTCTTCAGAAGAGAACAGTTAATGGCTCTCCATCACATGGATTTCTCCTTTATTCTCAGTCTAATCTTTCTCATCCAACACTTCCTCCTTTCCCTCTACCCGAGTCCTGCAGGTGGCACCTGTGCTCTTTGCCTGGAACAGCATTTCCCATGGACAACCACAGCAGACTCTGTCCTCATAAGCACCCCTTGAAGCTGTAGTGTTATTCACTGTCCACCCTCAAAAATAATCGTGTGCTAGACTGGTGCTTTATTCTCCCTCCTCTAATTTAAATGTTAATCTGGAAATAATGTTTTCTAGAGTGTGTGACTATCCTAGTGCAGCTCCATTATTTGTCTGGGATACTGTCTGACAGGATTGTTATGTCTGATAAAACTGAAAGCTCATTTTTGGAGTTGTAAACAATCTGTGTCACACCATGCTTATTTCCTCCAGGCCACGCCCAGATTTCTTCTACCGCTGCTTCCCTGATGGGCAAGCCCATCCTGACCTGATGTGCACAGGGGACAAGGATGTGGTGAACGAGGGCCGCAAGAGCTTTCCTAGTGGACATTCGTCCTGTATGAACAGCATATCAATTCTATGTCCACCCTTATGTTTGGATCATTGACTTTAACCTAGGAAGCTTGTGTAGATGGGAACATCTGTCTACTCTTGTTACTTGTACCTAGAAATTGGAGGACCCCCCCCCACTTCTTTAATGACCCTAAGATTTTACAAGTCTGAGCCTCAGTTAGGGTAAATATTCAAGGACAGAGGAGGTACTTTACCTTCATGAGGCCTGCACATTTTATTATTAGTTTTTTATTTGTATAAATCCTACAATATTATAGTAGTCATAAAAATACTAAACCAAAACCAAACCCATTGCCATCGAGTCGATTCTGACTTGTAGTGATCCTACAGGACAGAGGAGAACTGCCCCATAGGGTTTCCAAGGAGCGGCTGGTGGATTTGAACTGTCAACCTTTTGGGTAGCAGCCAACCACTTAACCACTGCACCACTGGGCTCCATAAAATTACTAACCTTTACTGAAGAATTACTATGTGCCAGGTGCTTTGAAAAGCTAAAATGACTCATGTGATCTCACACCAGACCACTGTGATTTTTATTACTCCCATTTATAGATGAGAGAACTAAAGCATGGAGAAGTTAAGTAACCTGCCCAAAGCCATATTGCTAGTATTCTGAGAAGTATTTTCAGGTAAAATATTAACTTTGGGACACGAAGTCCTTCATTTTTCCTTCTCCCTCATAATCAATGATCCACGGCAAACGTACAAAAAAAGGGAAAACGTGTCCTGTCCCTGACTCCTATGTAGAGACAAGTGAGGTAGCTTCCTTTAAAAGACACAGACTTACAGGTTTTCCCTGTTTTAGTTGCATTTGCTGGCCTGGCCTTTGCTTCCTTCTACCTGGCAGGGAAGCTACACTGCTTCACACCACAAGGCCGTGGGAAATCCTGGAGGTTCTGTGCCTTCCTGTCACCTCTACTTTTCGCAGCTGTGATTGCACTGTCCCGTACCTGCGACTACAAGCATCATTGGCAAGGTAAGAAAGGATTCGTGCCACAGAAGCTTCCCTGTGTTTCGCCCACCTCTTTATCTGCAGCGCCGGGCAGAGGAGGTTCTGTACTAAGAGTATGCGTTGTATCTATGCGGATGAGAAAGCACTCTGTCACCTTTTAGAGAGACTACCAGGGAGGGGCTTCCTCGTTTTTCCATTACTTTGAAGCCTCATAAATGCAGAACAAACTCCATCTAACAAGAAGTTTTTAAAAACAAATCTCAAAGCTGAACTTACTCTTTTAGAATAAAAATCAAGTTCAGTGTCATGAGATTTTTGTTCAGAAACAGACGTAAAATTCAAGAAAACAAAAAACTGTAATTAAAACAAAGAAATTTAAATTGAGTGATACAGTAAAACATCCAAGATAGACTATTTTCAAAAGAAAACCTACAGTTCCCTAACAGTTAACAGTATTGCCCAGAGGCCCTCAGGAGCCCTGTTTTAAAGAATAACCTAATGTTTTGCAAACTGAGGCAACTCTTGTACAGTTTATTCTTTCCTCTTGAACTCTAAATGGTGAAAAAGGGTTGATTAATAGCATCAGATGAACCTTTGTTATTCTTCTGAATTAAATTCTAGTTTAGTGTACTCTAAACAAGACTTCTTAACTAAAAATGTGTTTTGACCCTGTGGGTCCAAGTTACTGAGCTGAGGGCTGGGGACCATGGCCTCGGGGAACGTCTAGCTCAATTGGTATAACATAGTTAATAAAGAAAATGTTCTACATCCTCCTTTGGTGAGTAGCGTCTGGGGTCTTAAAAGCTTGTGAGCAGCTGTCTAAGATACTCCACTGATCCCACCCCGTCTGGAGCAAGGGAGAATGAAGAAAACCAAAGACACTAGGGAAAGATTAGTCCAAAGGACTAATGGACCACAACTACCACAGCCTTCATCAGACTAAGTCCAGTACAACTAGATAGTGCCTGGCTACCACTACCAACTGCTCTGACTGGGATCATGATAGAGGGTCCTAGACAGAACTGAAGAAAATGTAGAACAAAATGCAAACTCACAAAAAAAAAAAAAAGACCAGAGTTAACTGGTCTGACAAAGACTGGAGAAGCCCCGAGAGTATGGCCCCCAGACACCTTTTAACTCAGTACTGAAGTCACTCCTGAGGTTCACCCTTCAGCCAAAGATTAGACAGGCCCATAAAACAATAATACACATAGTTCAATGATATACGAGACTAAATGGGCACACCACCCCAGGAGCAAGGACAAAAAGGCAGGTGGGGACAGGAAAGCTGGACAAATGGAAATGGGGAACCCAAGGTCAAGAAAGGGAGACCAGACAAGTTGTGGGGTTGGCAGCCAATGTCACAAAAGAGTATGTGTATTAACTGTTTAATGAGAAACTAATTTGCTCTGTACACTTTCACCTAAAGCACAGTAAAACAAAGATTCATAAGAGCAAAAAAAACAAGTGTTTTGATTTGATATTTAGAGAACTGGCAACCCGATAATGATAATCTTGTAACTATATGATAAAACTAAGCATAAAGAAACCATAAACCTGGAATTTAGGGTTTTTGTAGCCCTAATAAGTAGAGTAACCTGGAGGGCCAAGTCTTCTGTACTATGTGGTGTTTAGCTAACTGTAGGAGTCTAAGTCTAATAGGATTAAGAGAAGACTTTCTCCCTTCTCCCTTCAGATGTCCTAGCTGGATCCATGATTGGCCTGACTTTTGCCTACGTCTGCTACAGGCAGTATTATCCTCCACTGACGGATGCAGAATGCCATAAACCGTTTCAGGACAAACTCGTACTTCCCACTGTACAGAAGAAGCCTGGTGATCCCTATCATTTTGATGTTTAGAAATTGGATTTACACCCGTGGAGACTAGGTGAACCAGCCCCTCCTGAATGGACCACGCACAAGGCCGAATTTCTGGCCTTTTTACCTCTGAAGAGGTGAAGCAAGGACTTGCGCCATGCTGCGTTCTGCCGCCACGTGATTCTGCAGTTTTCTCCTGCTTACATGGATCCACTGTGAGGAGTCAAGGGCCTTTTCCAGACTGTGCCCCACACATTTGGGTAAAAACGTTCTTTCTAGAGTCCTCTACAAGCTTATGAATATGATCCAGATTCGAATCCCCACGTCTACAATGTTTTGACACTTAATTTAAATGCTGTTCTTGGAAGGATCTTGTTACAAAGAAGACTTTACACAGCCCCACTTTATCCTTGAAGCTAGAATGAAACTTAATATCAAAACTTAATTTCCACTTCCCATAGCCCAAAATCTTAAAATCTAGGACATGAACAACTAAATTCCCTTCTCTGGTGAGAATTTCATCAAGCCTTTAATACGAGAATGTCCAGTTTTGGCTGATTTATCACTATTACACATAGCTGATCTCAGTCCAGCCAGATATTGCCGTCCATTTTGAATACTGTGGGCATAAACAATCTTGTGCTGCTAAGTGAACATAATGAAAAGGAAGAAAACGATCAGGAGTGTGGTTTCCGAACTAAAAACTGATACCTCTTTCTACCTCACCTCATTTGTCCTTAAACTGTGGCCATGAGCTGCTTTCCCAGCAGTCATCACTGAAGATCTGCCCAAACGCACCAATCTGCCAACTGGCTAAGGCAGGAAGGAAAAAATGACACTTATCTGGGGGACAGATGAACCTTATTCTGTCCCCTTTTCACAACAGGCTATAAGGAGCAGTTGTGGGTTCTCGTCAGACCTGCTGGTATAGGATCTACACCTGCCATTTTATTGTGATCATACTTTAAATATGACCTTGTCTTACGTATTTTTTTCTATATTTTCAGTGCATCTTTTCCTTCAGTAAGGTCAATATTCAAATAAAATGTGAATGTGCTTTTTCTCGTATGTAAAATACCACTTCTTAGGGGGTGGGGAACACTTTGAAAGTACAACACTAGCTTCCCCATCTGACTGACAGAAGCAATTCAATTGTGTTGTCTGTAGTAGTGACTGATGTTTATAAACACGGAAGGATTCTCCGTGTTCACCTCATAATTGTCATGCTTTAAATTCTCAACTATAGCTGCTTATGACAATGAAAACACCAGTCAAGGGAAAAGAACTTAAATACAAGTTCTTTGCCTAAAAGTTTTATTTTTATACTTGTTTTAGTAATATATAGGGGAAGAGAAAATGGTTATTGTGTCAGTTTTCTTTATGATAGATAAAGCCAGGTAAAAGCAGGCAACTGGTCAATATAGTTTTATTGAAGTATTTACTGAAGTTTTAAATATAATCATGTAAAAAACAAACATTTCAAAAGTGCAAAATATTAGAAACCTAATCAGTGCTATTAATCTTTCCATGCAAACAATCTCTTGCTGAAGTAAGCAATACTAATTCAGCAGCTGGGACTATGTACAATATAATGCTGTACCAGAGTTTACAATTAGGTTTGGTCAGAGATTGCACATGAAACAACTGAAATAGTGCAAATAATCTACAACTAAATAAAAGATTTTAAGCTTATGACCCCATAATAATACCACAGGTGTCTGGACGAGATATAAAGCTCTTTTACCATTACCCAGCCCTCACCACCATCAGTACAAACAGTGGTTTACCCAGCTCTCCCGGGCCATGCTCTCCATCTTTGGTTGCAGGGACTCACTCTTGCTTGTCCTTTGGTTTACTCTTAACTAGTACCTATTCTAATATGAAGAGGAAATTTAAATTTGAAGACAGCAATGTGTAAAAAGCTTTCTCTTTAATATATAGTGAATGCTACTTAATTCTCAGTAACCCTTACTTGAAACTCGGGGTTTACTTAACATGGAAAATATAATATTCCAAAAATGTGAAACATCTTCGTGGCTGAGTCAGCATTAGTCTATAAGCAGATGGATGAGGAAAGGCCAGGCTCTGACTATAACCTCTCCTTCACCATCTCCAGCGTGACACTAATTAACCTTCCCTTTCATCTCCAGAAAGGGATAAAGACCACTGTTGCCTGCCTGAGGGGCAGCTCAAGTGAATAATAAATGCCAGTCCTTTGGATACCATGATACATTTACAAAAAAAAAATTTATTAAAAAACAAAATGCAGCTTGTCTACCTATGCTACTCTCTAAAGCGGGGCCTGTGGAAATCTGAGAGGAAGTATAAAGGACCATCATAAGGAGAACTGCAAAGACAATGACTACCTTTGACCACAATGACTACCTCTGACCAACGCAGAAGAAAACAACTACTGCAAAGTGGTGAGCAGATGCCTTGGAAAAAATTAGCCTACAATCACCTGTTGTCTGTAAGGTAAGCCTCACTTTGCGTGTTCCAGACTCAGCTGGCACTGATTCTGCAATTCCTAGGACCCTATAGGCACAGGTTTTTCTTACAGAATAAGTTGAATTAAACATTTCCCCCTGCCAAACCTATCTGCTATGCCAAGTGCCTTTTAAATAAGCATTCTGGGCTGTGGGTACTTAAGAAGGCAATGATGTTTACAGAATGTTTTTAAAGAGCACAAAATATACCGCCATTGCCCAAGTGGACCTGGCCAGTGACTTATACAAGTTTTCTTTCACTATAAAGGCACCGTTAAAAGATTTTATTTATAACCTAACCATCCATCAACGCTGTGTTATTTCAGATTTGTCAGCTCTTACAACTTTACCTGAAACATAAGAATAGAAGCTATTATCAAATAACTTAAGTCAGACTTCATCTTGAGTCTCCCAATTTGAAGTATGATATAAAAGGCCTAGGATACATAACATCTTTGCTTTATAGAGATGTATCTAGTGTGAACTAAATCACCCACTTTAGACTCTTATAGCAGCTCAGACAGCGTAAAAACAATGAATAGCATCAGTGATTTCTAGCAATAATAAGCCTGTCAGTCATCTGTAGAGAGGAAACAATACCCTTTTAAAGCTACACTCTGTAGTCTTCATCCAGTACACATAGGAAAGAAAAGTTGGTTCAAAAAAAAAAAAAAACTACCTGCCTGACAAAACCTTTCCTATATCCACTTAGACTTGGTCTTCAAGTGCAGACAAGAGATGAGTATATCCCAAAATGCCTTCTAAATCTCAAGAATCTGCTTTCAAAACTACAAGATTTTCTAAAGATAAGCAATTATTTCCTAGAAAAATTTCTACCTGACGAAAAATAAATCAAACCCAAAACAGACTTTATACCATCTCAAGTAATAAAGCGTGGCACCTATATACTATCATTAAGGAATTAAAGCTGCAAACCACCCCCCCGCCATGAAGAATGGCAAGTTTGTTAAACAAAACGAGTAATGGGGTCTTCCCTTTGCTTTTCATCTCACTTCCAAAAAGGAAGATTATCTTCCAAAGACCCCAGTGGTGAGTAAGTGGCAGGCAACATGCAGGATATGGATGCGGCTCAGGAGAGGAAAGCTGCAGCAATAACAGGTGGGTTTTCTGGGGAAGGCTCCCTCAACGCCCCATCTAGGGAAGAGAGTGGGAAAAGAGGTCGGCATGCGCTCACGATGGAAGGCAGGCAGAGAAAATGCCACAGGCTGGCACACAGACTCTAGTTACACATCCAAAAGGCTGAACAGTTTAAATCACTGAATGGGCTGTCCGTGATTTAAATTATAGCTGTTATCATGGAAACTCTTAGATGATCACAGCTTTTAAGATTCTGAGTTTAGATCCTAAAAACGACAGGTGTTATGGGACAAAATCACTAACACAACAGACATACACCAGTCTTCCCCTGAGGGAGCTCTTGTGCTTTTTCCCCATGAATTTTAACCAGAGTCCTTCTAAAAATGAGCAGTAACCTACATGTTGGTGACAGATAACAGAAAAGTATATTTATAAAGAACTTGAGGCTCCCTAGCTTCTTACAACATGTTAGGAATGTCGAGGACTATCCTAGATACGTGACAATTAAAAACTTACATTAAGCAGCCACAGATGGGTCATTTTTACTGTAAAGGCTGATCAAGGAAGATACCCTGGGTTTGGTAGATTTCTTTGAGGACCAGCAATACTGTATCTTCAGACTCCCTGTAATGGGAAAAAAATAAGGTTGAGAAAAAAGGGAACTAACATTTGTCCTAGCTGCTTTACATACATCATTTCACTTAATCCACACAACCACCCTGCATGTTCATTTTTTACTACTGCAAAAAAAGCAGTCAGGGTGATGTTGGTAGTGGTCTGGAGGGTGACCTCCTGGCAAAGAACTCTAGTACTATGCCCAGTAATATGAAAAGCTAGTGGTCGAGGACCAAGAATTGTTTTTTCCATAGAGCTCATTCTTGGGGCAAGTGGGAAGAGACATCTGATTGGTCATTGTAATCTTTAAAATGTTGCTCTTTTTTTCTGAAAAGGTAATCCAATCATGTGGTTCAAAACTCAAAAGGTTTAAAAGGGTATAATAATGAAGTTCCCCTCCCACCTCTGTTCCTCACCACCAGTTCCCATCTTCTGACAACCAGTGTTACCAATTTCTCATTCATCTTCCAAAACTTATTCTGTGCATGAACAATTACATCCAGTTCATAACGAATTGTGATTACAAAAAAGTAATGTTCATGAAGGACTGCCTTAAGGATATATGGCTCAAACAATCCTCTAGATCTGTTGTTCTACATTTTTGGAGTCACAGATCCTTTTGAGAATCTAATGAGACCGATAGATTTCTCCCCGGAAAAGATCACATATGCATATATGCCCAAAATTATAAATAGAATTTCACCGGATTCATAGACTTCCCCTGTCCCTCACAAACTCTATATACAGACCCCCAGGTTAAGAAACTCCTGTGCTAACCAGGGGGAATTAGCTCTACCAGATATTAAAACATATCAAATCTTTAATAATTAAAATGGTGTGATCTCGGCATATAAATAGGTCAATAGAAAAGTACAGGAAGTTCAGAAATAGTCCCAAATACACATAGCCATTTAATATATGATAAAGTTAGAATCTCAAATCAATGAATAGTGTTGCGACAACTGGATAGCCACGTGGAAAAAAATAAATTGGATCAACTCATACCTTACATTAGGATAAATGTGAAGTGAATCAAGGACTGACATGTAAAAATGAAATGATAAAATATTAGAATAAACTATGGTACAGATTTTTTGGGAGAGTAAAGAAGATCTTACAAAGTATGATACAAATTACAGAAGCCAAAAGGAAAGATTAACAAATCTGACTACATAAAAATCAAAAATTTTCTATACCAAAACCAGTATAGGCAATATCAAAACACAAACAAACTGGGGAAAAGGTATTTGCAGCATATATCACAGATTTATAAGAAAAGGACCAACATTTCAAAATAAAAAGGTGTAAAGGGTATAAATAACTCCCAGAAGAGGAAATAAAAACGGCCCTTTTCTATGCCAGGATACCCAACCTTATTCACAGTAGGAAGAACTCAGTTTAAAACTATAGTAGGCATGACATGCGCACTGAAAACTACAAAACGCCGCTGAGAGAAAGGGAAGAAGACCTAATACACTGAGAGAGAACTCGTTCATGCATCGGAAGACTCGATATTACAAAGATGGCGATTCTCCCCAAAGTGATCTATAGATAAAATGTAATCAAAATGAAAATCCCGGCAAGCTTCTTTGAAGAAACTGACAAACCGATTCTAAAACATTTATGGAAATGCAAATAATACATTTGGCTACAATAGCCAAGATAACCCTGACTAAGAACAAAGTTGGAGAGCTCACGCTGCCTGATTTCAAGAGTTAGTATCAAGTTACAGTGATCAAGATAGTGTTTTACTGGCATAAAGACAAACAGACCAATGGAACAGAACAGACAGTGCAGAAATAGATACACATACATATGGTCAATTGATTAAGGCAATTCAATGGTTTCTATATTTGGATAAACTTTTCAACAAATGGTGCTAGAACAAATGGTGCAAAACCACAGGAGGCCCTAGGTGGTGCAGTTAGGCACTCAACTATTAGTCTAAAGATTAGCAGTTTGAAACCAGCCACACGCACCTTGGGAGACAGGCCCAGGGATCTGCTTCTGAAAGGTCACAGTCTTAAACCCCACGGAGCAGCTCTACTCCGCACACATGGTGTAGCCACAGGTTGAAACGGATTCCAACGTCAAGTATCAACAACAATAATGCGAAACAACGCACTTCAATCCTGACCTCATACCATATTCAAAAGTTAACTGAGTATAAACTTTCACCAAAAATTCAATAAAATATTATTTAAAAAAAAAAATTAACTGAATTGAAATGGGTCACAGACCTAAATGTAAGCGCTAAAATGATAAAACTTCTAGAGCACAGGAAAAATCATAATGATTTTGGATTTGTTAAAGATTCCGTCAAAATAGCACAAATCAATAAATTAGACTTCATTGAAATCAAAAACTTTTGCTCTTCAAAACACTCTACTAGGAAAATGAAAAACCAAGCAAGCTACATTCTGGGAGAAAACATCTGAGAAGGACTTATAACTAGAATATACAAAGCACTCCCACAACTGAGTAATTAAGAAGACAGTCCAACATTTTAAATGAGCATACGATTTGAACAGACAAGTCACCCAAGAACATATACAGATGGTAAATAAACACATGAAAATATACTCCACATCATTAGTCATTAGGGAAATTCAAATTTAAACCAGAGTGAGACACCATTATGACCTATCTAGAATGGTGAGAGGGCAAGACTAACCACGCCAAGTGCTGGCGAGGATGCAGAACAACTGAACCCTCACGCGCTGCTGATGGGAATGTAAAGTGCTGGTGGGAAACGAGTTTGGCAGTTTCTTACATATAAAGATACACTTACCAGACAACACCCAGTCATTCCGCTCCTAGGTATTTATTTACCCAAGAGAAATTAAAGAATATGTCCATACAAAGACCTGTCAAGAAATGTTCACAGCAGCTTTGTTTGTAATAGCCGAAAACTGAAAACAACCCAAATATCCATCAAGAGGTGAATGGCTACACAAATTGTGGTAAGTCCATACGACGGAATCCTACTTAGCAATATTAAAGAACAAACCCTTGATACATGCCAAAATATGGAAGAATCTCAAAATAATTATACTGAGTGAAAGAAGCCAGAAAATAAAGAGTACATACTGTGTGATTCCATTTATATGAAAGTCATATGCAAACCTAACCTACATTTGACAGAAGCAGATCAGTGGTACCCTGGAGACAAGGAGGATAAGGGAGGAGGAAAGGAGGGGCGGACTACGAAAGGGCAAAAGGAAACTACTGAAATGACAGATTTCACATATGTACATCTGTGATTGTGGTGATGATTTCATAGGTGAATACAGGTCAAAACTCAAATTGTACATTTTAAATAATATATGCAGTTGAATGTATACCAATTATGCTTCAAAAAAGCTTTACATATTAAAAAAAAACTACAGTGAGGGACCATTTTTCACTCAACAAACTGGCAGATTTAAAAACTTATTACAACTGTGTTGGAAAAGCTGTGAGGAAACAGACTCCATGTTGTTGACAGGAGTGTAAAAAGGTACAATCTCTATTTGGCAATATCTATCAAATATTATAAATGCATATAACCTTTGTGCCAGCAATTCCAATTCTAAGTATCCACCTTACAGATAAACTCATGAATGGGTGAAATGACATGAACAAGGTACATAAAGAGTAAAAGGATAGAGGCCTAAATGTCCATCAGTAGAGGACTATTAAATACATTTTGGTACACCCACACAGTGCAATAGCATGTGGCTAAAAGGAAATAAGGAAACTCCTGATATACAGTGGAGCCTTAGTGGCGCAGTGGTTAAGAGCTCGGCTGCTAACCAAAAGGTCGGCAGTTCTAATCTACCAGCTGTTCTTTGGAAAACCTTATGGGACAGTTCTACTCTGTCCTATAGTTTTGCTGTGAGGTGGAACTGACTCAACGGCAAACGGTTTGGTTTTGGGTGATATACAATAGGTAACAAAAACTCCAATATATACTGATAGAAAAAGTAAGGCACAGAGCAATGCCTATAATACTATTTATATTTTTTTACAGGGGGAAATAACATATTCACACATACTCACACATGTATTATGTATGTATAAAATGTATCTCTGGAAGGATATTTTAGGAAGTACATATTAGCCACATATGAGGGAGCTAGGTGGCAGGGAACAAGGTAGAAGAGAGACTTTTCATTATCTTTGAATTCTAAACCATATGAATGTACTTCCTGCTCAGAAATTTTAAAAGAACCTTTTTTCAGATATTTTATCAGGTCAGATCAACAGAGATCATTCCTGGACAGCATTATTTTGGGCCCTTAGAAGACTGCTTTTACTGAATTGTATTTTGATTTTTTGTCATAACCTCTATGATATTTATTATATAGAGATGACACTGATTACATCAGATAATAATGCTTTTATCAGAATTCAGTAGAAAAATCTTTCTTAGTCTCAGTACCAGGAAAACACACACACACGTGATTATCCTGAGAAGTCCTTTGTTTCCCCTCTTTGCTTTGCCTATTAGAAAGCTCAAATGAATACATGGCCCACCTCTGCAGGACCCTAAAGCACGCATTTTTTACACATTTACCTTATCCCTGAAACCAAAAACCTGTTGCCATTGAGTTGATTCCAACTCATAGTGACCCTAGAGGACAGAGCAGAACTGCCCTGTAGGGTTTCCAAGGAGTGGCAGGTGGATTTGAACTGCTGACCTTTTTTGGTTAGCAGCCATGCTCTTAGCCACTGCGCCACCAGGGCTCCACCTTATCCCAGACTCATCTTACTTTCCTGGCTTTACTATCCTTTACTTCAATTTCTTCAGTGATTAAGTTGTATTCAGTTATACTGTATGAATTTCAATAAGCACTATTAATCCATTCTACAATCCAAAGGGTAATTAATTATATTTAATAAAAATTAATTCTGCTCTAGCTGTTGTAAATGCCTTCAATATTAATTTAACAATGGTTTTCTTAAAATTCTGTTAGCAATAGGAAAGTATCTGTTCCAGTTCATTCAAATGCACACATCCTGTCGCATCAATGGCCAAAAGGGCATACTTTTAAGACTAAGCTAACTGAACTCATAGTTGCTGGTATCATTAGCCCCATGTTCTAACCAACTGCAACTAAGAACTACAATGTGTTTAAATGAGATTTCTTTAAATGCCCACATGACTGTGCTATTTTGTAACTTTCTAAATGAGAAATCATTCTAGTCCCCAAAAAGTGTATATTGGCCTATCCTCCCTTCTCCAAATCTATCAAACACCTGTGAAATAGTGAGACAAAAAAACAGAAACAAAAGCAAGAACTACCACTTACCAGTAGCAGAGATGGCTTTGTAAAGCAAATAAATATTCATTAAAACTCTCAATGGGTTTCTCCTGTAGCACATAGTCAATGCGCTGGCCTCCGTTCAGCATTCCCACATTGATGGGTGGAACTTCTTCTTGAACTGCCTCAGAGGTCTCGTCTGTGTTAACATCTAGACATGGAGGAACCATGGTTAAGAATCTAAAAGCTTGTAGCCTTCCATGGTCGTCCTGTTAGAAGCCCTGGTGGTAAAGTGGTTAACAGGTCAGCTGCCAACCAAAAGGTTGGCAGTTCGAATCCACCAGCCGCTCCTTGGAAACCTTATGGGGCAGTTCTACTCTGTCCTACAGGGTTGCTACGAGTCAGAATCGACTCAATGGCAGTGGGTTCTCTTCGTCCTTCTCTCAATCCCTTTAAAGCTCCTCAGGTCATACTGGTTTTGTGCCCTCTTTTCTTTTTGCTCATCTCATTACCTGTGCCTCTGACAGCTAATTCATTTGACTTTGAGTTTATAAACTAGAATGCAAGCAGGAATAGAGCTCTGTCAGCATTTAGAAACTAAAGCAAAAGAATGCAATATTAACTGTCCAATTAAGAGACAGTATCCCAGCTTGTCCTCAGCCAGGGAACTGAAACGACTTATGACTCATGAAGGTACAGGCTTTCCCCTTGTTGAAGCAAAGGCTTCACAGAGTAAGCTCTTCACCTCCACAGTTCCCAAGTGGGGAATATTTCAAAGCCTAGGTATCAGATGCTTAATTTCTCTTACCATTCTTCCTCACAAATACTGCTTTTCCATAATTTATGGCTATTAGATGACAGAAAAGGCTGGCAGAGCTAAAGACCCATCAAGAAAAAACCCACTGCCGTCGAGTCGATTCCAACTCATAGCAACCCTACAGGACAGAGTAGAACTGCCCCATAGGGTTTCCAAGGAGTGCCTGGCAGATTCGAACTGCCAACCTTTTGGTTAGCAGCCGAAGCTCCGAACCACTATGCCACCAAGGTTTCCAAAGACCTATTGGGACCGATAAAATAGGTCCTATACAATAAGAAGGGGGAGATAAGAAGGCTCTGGGAGAATAAGAACTCCACACCATGAAGTCCTTATCCAGCCTGATGCAGGAAATCAATGTGTACAGTGTCACTGACCACTGGGCTTCTCTGAACTTGATTCCAGCTCAGCTTCAGTTTCTTCTGCAGTTTCTGAAGCTTGTAAGGCAGGGTGTGGAACTCTGGTGAAAGACTTCCAGGCCATCCGCAGGGAGCCTAGCAAGTTGTTCTTCAGGTCCATACTCATCCGGGTCAAGCCCTCTCTCAGTTCTGAAACACATGTGAGTAAAGAACATTAAATGGCTTACAAAGAGTTGAGGGCCCAACACAGCTGAACAGAACGAGTAAGGTCGTTAGTCTGCATTGGCCAGAAGGTGTAGAATTACCAAGTTCTGTGGTTAGACTTACCTAAGTGCATCCGCTTCCTGCCTTTATGATGTGGGATCAGCATTGGCTCAAATTCCACTCCTGGGACCACCATCGGTTCAATCCTATAGGCCACAGGATCAAACTGCATAGGAAAAATAACAGCTACATTTACCGCTGCTGAAGAAAGATAGCCAATCTGGGAAACTGTATACCTTAAAGCAAGAGTAACCATAAGTTCATTAGAAAAAGGTACAGATGTTCTGCCACAATACTTCCAGATCAATAGTAGCGTAAGTTGTCTCATTACTACAGAATAGTATAGAAAAAAGGCAAGACAACACAACAGAAAATTATATGCTCTTTACCAAGATGCCAGAATATTTAGGTAAAACCACAACAGCTGTACAATGCTTACAGGGTGATAAATATTGAAGAAACCTTTGCACGTTGGAAATCTGTAGTTGGGATCAATTCTTTTTAGTCCACGGACAGTAAGGAACATCCCAATGGGAGATCCAAAGGCAAAAAATATTTCTGGTTTATAGATAAGCCGGGGGTACTTTACAGATACCTGAAATGAGGAAATAAAAGTATCTGTCATTAATAACACAAGTCACACCAGTTCCTGCCATACCAAGGAAAAGCATAAAACGACCAAAGAGAATTAGCATTGTTACCTGGCCGATGCCAACGTCCAGAAAAGTATCGTTTCTAGTACCATCAGTACTACTGCAGAACTCAGATTCTTTGGGGATGTTAGACACACTCGGCCCTGAAGCTGATTGTGGGGTTGGTCTATTCATGCCCTAAAGAATAAAAAATAGTTCTCTGGAGCTGCTATGTAGTAAACACAGCTAAAGGATTATATATTCTTCTATTGGTTTGAAAAGATGCTTGAGAAAGTGTTGAAATGGTAGCCAATAAATCTAGGGAGAGTCCCTTAGAGAACAAGATAAAGCTGATGACCATAACAGTTGCCTTAAATTATAAATTGACATCCCTACAGACTCTGAGATGTAAAAGTTTCACACAGCTAGTTGGGCAGCAGTTGAAACTTTACGCAACCATCACGAGAGAAAACAATAGCAGGGCATCGTGGGAAGGAATGTTGAGGACTGCTGTGCCTCTCTAATCAAGGCAAGTCTCTATGCGTACAGAAAAAGATGCAAATATTGGGCCAAGAATGGAAGTCTTAAAAGAACTGAGCCACCTGCTAAAAAGTTGGCTATAGAAAGGCACTCAATGGCCAAGAAAAAGAAAAACTGAATGGTAGATATACTGATACATGCTATAACATGGATGAACCTTGAAAACATTAGGCTAAGTAAAGAAGCCAGTTACACAAGACACATATTACATGATTCCATTTATAAGAAATGTCCAGAATAGGCAATCCACAGAGGCAGAAAGTGGATTAATGGTTGCCATGGAAGTGGGGAGAGAGAACTGACTGCTAATGGGTATGGAGTTTTTTTTGGGATGATGGAAATGTTCTGGAATAAGATAGTGGTAATGGTTTCACGGAGTTCCTGGATGGTGCAAACTGTTAACACACTTGGCTGCTAACCAAAAGGTTGGAGGTTCAAGTCCACCCAGAAGCATCTTGGGAAAAAGTCCTGGCAATCTATTTCCAAAAAATCTGCCACTGAAAAGTCTATGGAGCACAGTTCTACTCTGACACACATGTGGGCGCCACGAGTTGCCATCGACTTGATGGGAGCTGGTTTACTGGCTGATGGTTACACAACTCTGAATATACTAAAAACCACTGAATTATGTACTTCAAAAGGGTAAATTTGTAGTATGTATATTATATCCTAGTAAACATATTTTTATTTTATTTGGAAAAAAACTGAGTGGTAGGAGGAGTCCAGAAAAGATAAGACTTCTGATACTAGTAATATTTTTAAGGATATGGATAAAGAAACTGTGCCTAATTTCTAAAAAGAGAATGAAAGACCAACTAATAAAATTGCTTACCTCCTAAGAGTATGTACCCCACAAAGCATGAGGATACACCATGCACGTTAAAGAACTGTTTGGTTCAACAAACCATATTAGGCACATACCGTTGAAGTTTTTTTAATACTAAAATAGTTCAATATCTTCTTTCTTGGTCCTAAAGGGATTCCCATTTCCTGAAGATCTTTGTCTGTACATAAAGCCTAGGCAAAGAAAATCAAATATCATTCTTATTTCTAATGTTCTTTGCTTTATATTGCTCTGGCTTCCTAGTGATGCAATATCATTAACAAACTTTGAGAAGGAAAGACTATTTTATTCATAAAAGAGCCTAAAGACGAATAAAAAGTACCAATACCACAGTATCAATGCTATAGTAATAGATAACAAGTTATTGCAAAAAAAGAAAAACCCTAGAGAAGTATGTATATAATAACGACTTCATGACAGAAAACGCTTCTTGATCCCCATCCTCACCTAACAGCTGTAATCTTCCTGAGAAACACTACAGACACAAGCAGTGAGAACATAATAGTAAACAAAGGATGGAGCAGACTAACAATAAAGATCTCAGCTTAAGTGTCACTCACTTTGTTAGACAAGTTAGTTCATCCTACTATACATTCTGACATCTCTGTGTACTTTTCCTACTTAGGACTTATCACAACTGTAATTAGTTGTTCGTGTGATTATCTGAGTCTTCCCCACTAAACTACAAACACCAAATCTGTTTCATTCACTGCTCTATCTCCGAAACTTGGTACGGTATGCCTAACCATAGTAAGCAATTACTAAATATTTTTCAAATAAATGAATGTATCACAAACCAGAAAAAAGCACAACAAAATTAAGTGGCAGACAAACAAATATCAACAGTCGAGCTCTTGAAAGTATAATAAAGTAAGAGCTGGAATAAGTAATGGTCATTTATAGGATGTTTTTGCTCTCATGTTCTCTCTGAGGTGAGCTGTTTAGTCTTTGCCCTATCGTTGTATGTATATTGATATTATTCATTCTGAACTCTGAACTCCCACAAAGCAAAGATCACTTTCTATAATAAAAAAGCATAAGTAATGCTAAAGAACGTTATCAATGATAGCAAAGTATTTATGACTCAAAAGCTACTGGAGCAGGCTCTTAGTAAGTAGTACAATGAAGAAAAGCAGTACAATACTGAAATGATATAAAGTTTTTAAAAAAGATTATTTTTACCAGAGCTGCTTTATCTACTTTCTCCTCCTCAAAGATATTAAAGAATTCAGAGAGCTGGAGTTTCTTCAAATCTTCCTCTAGTGTTGGTGTGTCTCCTTGATCCATAACAATATTTAGCGACGCCTAAAAATTAAATTGTAAAGCTCACATTTTCTAAATTCATCTAGATTTTCCTTGATTATTTAATTAAATACTCTTTTGTGACAAAGAAATATATTACACAAGGTTTCCACACAGAGGTGTATCTTAACTTTAAAAACAAATTGTAATTTATACAAAATAGAAATTGAAAGGTGAGTGAATGATCTAAGTTTCTGCAACTTCAGCTGAAACTTACTATGTTTTTAAATAAATGAAAGAGTGAATGAATGATTACCAGAGTATTCTTCATCACCATCATTAACGGACATTTACTGAGCTCTTATTAGGAAAACAGAGCCTATGCCATAAAACAGTCTTAGCTAAAGCCCCTGCCGTGGGGAAGAACTCATGGTTCACCAGGAAAAATAGGACGTTTACATAAAAAGAGAAAAAACACAAGATCGTATACGCTAAGTGCCAAATAAGTAATATAGACGATAGGGTTGATAGGATTTTGTTTACTAACAGATATGTTTACACATCAAGTCCCCCCACTGCTTTAAAATAGAATTTCTAGAAATCAGGTCAATTTGCATCCAATTCGTTCTGTATTTCCTCATATGCAAACTCCTTTTTAGTCTAACAATTCTATAATTCTAATAATAAGCCAGTAGTACATATTTATAATAGAAAATAAGATACCTATTATTATTTTAGAATGTGGCAATATTTGTAGAAGCATATTACTATCTTGCTTCTATCATCCAAGAAAGACAGGAGTAATATAAGTCTGTTAAAATTAAAGCAAATGTAAATTTAATGTCATGGTATAAGACTAAATTCAGCTAAAAACAACAAATTAGTCTAACATCTAAAAACTAAGGAATACTACAAGAGAACCTATCTGAACATCTAAATTACCTTTTCACTGTCAATATCCCCCAAAGAATCTTTCTGATTTGTTAGGATATCAAACAATATAAGCGAACCTATAAGTAAAATAGAAGAAAGAAGGAACAATTTCTAAACATTAGCACTAAATGGCTGTCTTTTACACAAAAGAAAAGTAATAAGCCAATAACCAACGTAAACAAATCTTCAAAGCAAGGGGTCTTTCTTTTGTTCCAACCCACCACCCTTCCAACCCCTTCCAAATTCTTTATACCGAACACTTCCAGACCTCTGAATCTGATACTGAATTGAAAAAAAAAAAATTGTGCCTCAAAAACAGGTGTCCTGAAAATATGATAGTCTTCTCTGCACACAGAGAATTCATTTGTTACCTAAACTATGACCAGCAATGGATACACCCCCTTTGAAATCAGGGTTCCTCTGCAGAAAAAGTGTGTATATTCGGTTCATTTCAGAAGCAACTGTGTCCACAATAGTCTGACAGTAGGTGGGGCTATTGTAGAAGAAGACATCCAGAATTGTGTCATTGGTGAAATGTCTAAGGCGGTTAATGCTGGGCAGGGTTATTCGCTGCAGATCTCTGAAAAAAGGAAAGATATTTTAAGCAGAAAACCTAAATATATTCCACAGCCATCTCTGAGTTATTATCTAGCTTAGCCTTCAAGTTTAGACTTAGGCATTTAAAAATATAAATGACAACTATCAACTTACAGAAAATGCAGAGGACAGAGGGACATGCTTAACACCAATGGGATGTGATCAGCAAAACTCAGTGCGAGAAATAGGGAACAGAAGGTGAAGAAGGGGAGAGTGTTGACACGTCATGGGGTTGGCAACCAATGTCACAAAACAATATGTGTATTAATTGTTTGAGAAACTAATTTGCACTGTAAACCTTCAACTAAAGCACCATTAAAAAAAAAGAAGAAAAAGAAAAAATTCAGCATGAGCAACTTTACAAGACAAACAACCCAGTTTCTTCAATACATAAATTGCAAGAAAATAGAAGAGATGGAGAGGTAACCGAGACATTAAAAGACTTAAAAGACACATCAGCTAATCAGAATTTATGGGCTTTATTTGGACCCCATTTAAGCAATACATATGTGTGTACATCTGTGTGTGTGTGTATATATATATCATGACATTTATTAGACAACTGGAAATGTGAACAATGACTGGATATTGATGATATTTAGAATTATTTTAAGTGTGATAATGGTGTTATGGTTATATATTTTTTAAAGTTCTCATCTTTAAGATGTATAAACTAAAACATTTATAGATGAAACTATATGATGTTTAAGAGTTGATTCAAAAATAATATTGAGAGAGAGGTATAAAGCTACGGATGAAGCAGAACTGGCAATGGGTTGAGGCTTGTTGGGGCTGGGTAATGGGTACATGAAGATATATATATATACATACATGTATATATGTAAAGTAGTTTCTGTATCTTAAAGATTATATATACACACACATACATACACACATTTTTGTATATGTTCAAAATTCTCCATAATAAAAAGTTTAAACAAAAAAAGACACGAGGCTTTTCCTAAAACTCTCAGCATTAAGGTTTTTTTTAATCACAAGACAAATAATAAAGAAATCAAGTTTCCACTCTCAATACAGAATTTCAGAAAGCAGAAAAGTAAGAATGCCACACAAAACAAAATGAGATAAATAGACACACAAGCCCAGGGGTCAGGACGAGAAGGCAGGAGGGGATAGGAAAGCTGGTAATGAGGAACCCAAGGTTGAGAAGGGGAGAGTGTTGACATGTCGTGGGGCTGGCAACCAATGTCACAAAACAACATGTGTACTAATTGTTTAATGAGAAACTAATTTGCTCTGTAAACCTTCATCTAAAGTACAATAAAAAATTTAAAAAAGACAAGAAAAGAGAATGACAGATGCCAAAAGCAAACAGAACTCATATTTGGCAAAGGAAGACCAGGTTGACATAGTCTAAATCAACTTCTAATTAAAGCTTTTTCCTGGAAAGATTCCTGAATGACTCAACAGCTTCTGTGGTTTAAAGAGAGCTATGTGGCCTTAGTAAACTCTTAGCATCAGCTCAATGGTGAAAGAACACTGACTCCTTACCTAATGCCTTAGTCATCTAGTGCTGCTATAACAGAAATACCACAAGTGGGTGGCTTTAACAAACAGAAATTTATTTTCTCACAATTTAGGAGGCAGGGTGCCAGTTCTAGGGGAAGGCTTTCTCTGTTGGCTATGGGGGAAGGTCCTTGTCTCTTCAGCTTGTTTCCTGGTTCCTTGGAGCTGTCCATGTGGCTTGGAATCAATCTTCCCCCATCTCTGCGTGTTCATTTGCTTGTCTGCCATTGCTGTTAGGTGCCATTGAGTCAGTTCCAACTCATAGTGACTCTACGTACAATAGACAGAAACACTGCCTAGTCCTGTGCCATCCTCACAAACGTTACGTTTAAGCCCGCTGTTGCAGCCACTGTGTCAATCCATCTTGTTGAGGGTCCTCCTCTTTTTTGCTGACCCTCTACTTTACCAAGCATGATGTCCTTCTCCAGAGACTGGTCCCTCCTGATAATATGTCCAAAGTACGAGAGAAGTCTCACCATCCTTGCTTCTAAGTAGCACTCTGGCTGTACTTCTTCCAAGACAGATTTGTTCATTCTTCTGGCAGTCCATGGTATATTCAATATTCTTTGCCAACATAATGCAAAGGCATCAATTCTTCTTCAGTCTTCCTTATTCATTATGCAGCTTTTGCCTGCATATAAGGTGACTGAAAATATCATGGCTTGGGTCAGGCACACCTTAGTCCTCAAAGTGACATTTTTGCTTTTTAACACTTTAAAGAGGTCTTTTGCAGCAGATGTATCCAATGCAATACATTCTGTGATTTCTTGATTTCCATAATCTCTTTTATATCACAAGAGACCGACACAAGACATACCCTACACTAATCCTGCCTTGTTAGCACAACAAAGACAACCCATTCCCAAATGGGCTTATACCCACAGGCACAGAGGTTAGGATTTACAACACGTATTTTTGGGGGATACAATTCAATCCATAACACTTAGTAAAAGCAATGCCACAGTGGAGCACTTGGTACACGGAAGATGCTCAAGTCACAGACTATCAAGAACTGACAGAAACAGAATCAGGAAGTCCATTTCCAGGATCAGCGTGGCAACAATGCTAACTAATTCCTTTATTCTTCCAGAGAAGCAATTTCTCTTCTTCTTCTATCCTAGAGCTATATTATGAACACATCTCTTCTCTCTGGAGAGTCCATAGCTGGATTTCCTTGATATACGGTAAGCTTCTCTGTTATTAGCATAAAACAAAACTACTGGGCTTGTAACTTAGAAAGCCATCACTTTAAAGTTATTACACTAATCAGACCTCAAGTTATAAGTCCTAATAATTTAATGTTGGGGGATTTCCTTCCTGTTTTCCTTAATTTGGACATGTATTATTTAATATGATCACAAAAAGAACAACAAAATACTTTGGACATCTTGAGGTATGGTTGGCTTTTGACATCTGAAGATGGAAATGCTTATACAATACGGGAAGAAAGCAATGAATGGCTTTAATGCTAAAGAAATAATGAAGCTGCAATAATAGATACTAATGAGCCAGGAAGACATACTAGAGGAAGATACACACAGCTCTTTACTCCTAACCAGGCCCATTAAAGCAAAGAATTGATTAGCATTTAATAATGTATCTCTAAGAAGACACAGAAGCACAAAAAGCTTTTTGTTGAACAAAATTTTAAATATACAGTCAGCTAAACCAGAAATGTCCCTAAGCAAATTATTATTAACAAAAAACATATTACAATGACAGCTAACAATTTAAAGGTATAAGGGATTACTTACACATCAACACCAGTAGAATGCAAAGGACTGTGCCAGTTGACTGGAAGAAACTCTACCCTCCCCATCTGCTGATTTTCCTGGGCTTTCTTAAAATGGGTCCGGAGCAGGTTCAAGGAGACATTGCGAAAATCATTAACTAGAAAAGAAAATTAATGGTGGAAACAATGAATTGGCAGAATTAGGATCAAACAACTCATGTAATTTTACTCTAACTATATTTCCATAGAATACAATGACTTGAGTCAAAAATATAAAGTGCTATTCAAGAACAATTATCAGTGCGTATAGGACATGTTTCTCTAATATAGAACTTGATTTTACCATACAAAACATTTCATCAAAAGAAAAGTTAACTTCAAAACTTCTACTGTATCATGCGAACTTTGATTAAAAAAGAAAAAAAAAACATGACTACCTGTCAGTCAGCCTTGCAATCAAGTTCCTGTCGTTAACTCTCTGGTTGATATAAGCAACCATCATCCAATATTTTAGATTAAAACGCACGCACGCACGCACGCACGCACGCACGCACACACGCACTGCTGTTTGAAACGCATATCCCGTCAATCTTAACCTTCCAGAATACAATTCTAATTTAGGCTTAGGACCATTATCCAACAGGATAAGACTTTCTAACTTGGACAGCCAGACTTTGAATACTATGAAGTTTCAGAGCACACTACCTTTCAAAATCAAGTTATACTAATGACTTAAATCTTCCAATTAGAATATCAAGAGGTTTACTACAGTGTGAATGATAAAAATGATTGAAGCTTCTGTTATGCATTTAAACTACATCATACTTACGGTTCCCTTTATAGTTGAAGTGGTGAGAAACACAACCATCACCTCATAAAAAATTTTATATGGATTAAGGGCTTTTCACTCAGGAATTATAAGTTAAGAGTATAAACCAAGCTTTAGGAGTTTACTTTAGGTCTAAGCTGGGAAGCTTTACTACCGTGCCACCTGTCTTTAGCTCTCCAAATCTTATTATGCAGCTAAGACAACAGACCAAAAATAACACTTAATCGCAGCTCACAGGAGCACTGCCTAATATTCAATCTAATCTTATATGCTTTACAAACCTACCACACTGTACAATGCTTCGAAAGCGGAGATCACAAGCTGGTCCAATCCCATGGACGACAAAAACCAAGTGATCTATTTGCAAAGGTTCCCCTATAAATGAAATTAAAAAGAAAAATTACTCTCTATAATTGGTCATGAATTCTAAAATCAAACATTATAACTGAGTTATAAATATGGGTGTTAAGAATTGAATTATGCCCCCAAAACTATGTGTTGTAATTCCTAACCTCTATGCCTATCGTTATAATCCCATTTTGGAATGGGTGTCTTTGTTACGTTAACGAGCATGATTAGCATAGGGTGTATCATGAGTCAATCTCTTTAGAGATATAAAAGAGAGTAACCGAGCAAGCTAAAAGAAGAGATGGGGGAAGAAAGATGCCAAGCCACATGAAGATGGCCCAGGAGCAGAGCTCAGAAGAGACAGGGACCTTCTTCCAGAGGCTACAGAGAGAGAAAGCCTTCACCTACAGCCACAGCCCTGAATTCAGATTTACAGTCTCCTAAACTGTGAGAAAATAAATTTGTTTGTTAAAGCCACCCATTTGTGGTATTTCTGTTACAGTAGCACTAGATAAATAAGACAATGGGCAGGTTAAAAAATTAAACATAATTTAAAGAACATAAAATAGTCCTATATTTAACTACTTAGTATTAATACAGTGATTTTACTTAGTTTCTAATTTATCTTAAAATAAATCTGTGAAAAAAGTGTTTCTTTTTTTTAAACTTTTACTTTGAAATAATTTTTAATTTATAGAAAAGTTGAAAGACTGGTACAGAAATACACATGCAGTCTTTACACACACTGAATTTTTTAACATGGCCGTATTTGCTCTATTATTCTCTCCACATATCTCTGTGTTGCATACACACAAACACATTTATTTTTCTGAACCATTTGGGAACAGACTGCATACATCCTGTCTCTTTACTCATTCAACACTTAACA